AAAGCATTTAATATTTAACTTAAAATTTACTTGATTAACTTAAAATTAACTTGAAAGTTAATTAAATATTAAATAATACATATCCTATCTTAAATAACAAAACAAAAAGAAAGTTTAGTAATGCTCACTGTTTCTAGAATCAGATAAGTTGGCACTCCCATTATATATCACATACTGTAATTACAATTATAAATTCATGTAATTTTTCTGTTAGAAAATCAAGAAGTGATTTTCAACCTTTCCATGTACAAAATCTTTAATCTAGCAATTCCACTTTTCGGAATTTGTCCTAATAATAAGAAAACATCCAAAAATACATGTATAAGTTTGATCGTTTCAGATTTGTTAATAGTGAAAAATTAGAAACAATTAGTAATATTCATTAATAGAATACTGGAATACCATACAGATTTTTTTTAAAGATTTTATTTATTTACTCATCAGAGACACAGAGAGAGGCAGAGACATAGAGGGAGAAGCAGACTCCTCACAGGGAACCTGATGCAGGACTCGATCCCCGGAACCAGATCGTGCCCTGAGCTGAAGGCAAACACTCAACCCTTGAGCCACCCAGGCGTCCCACCATACAGATTTTAGAACAGATATGCCAGATAATATATGAACTGACAGAAAATAGGTGCTTTTTGATGAAAAGTTCATCAACTAATCCTGTCTCCTACCTTGTAGATAAGAAAAAAAAAAAAGCCTGGCAATCAAAAAATAACATAATTCCATACTTTCTTCTGTCTCTAGAGGAAAAGCTAAAAAGAGATGCTACATTCTTAATAGATTATGAAATATCTTTAAAATCTTTTCTCCTCTTCTTGATCATTTTCAATGTCCCCACATCAGTGATTTTCAAACTTTGGAGTACATCAGCTTTATCTGCAGGGTTTGCTAAAACACATACTCCTGGACCCCACCCCAGAGTCTCTGATTCAATAGGCCTGGGGTGGAGCCTGAGAATGAGTATTTCTAACAAGTTTCCATGCTGCTGGACTAGGCACCACACTTTGAGAGCCCTCATGATCTAAAAAGCTATTGGGTATTTTTGTGTTTGTGAATGATCCAAATTTTAGAACTTTTAATTTTTATTTTTTTCTAATGTTTACTATATTCTATTTATTTAACATATAGTGCAATATTAGTTTCAGGAATAGAATTTAGTGAGTCATCACTTACATATGACACCCACAGCTCATCATCATATCAAGTGCCCTCCTTGATACTCATCACCCTGCCTAGCCCCTCCTTGCCCCACTTCCCTCCATCACCCCTTTGTTCTCTGTTTTAAGAGTCTTTTATGGTTTGTTTCCCAAAGGAGAGAAAAAAACAGGAGGAAGGCAGAGATTCCCCTAGGAATCTAAGAGAAAAGAAAAAGTAAATACTCCATTGCAGCACAACTGAAGGCAAAAGGTAGTATTTAAGGATTTGCATGAAGGTGAAGAAAACAGAAATCCAGGATGCCACCATATATATAATTTTTAAAATAGGATATCCCTTATCTAGGCATTGAGGAGAGAAGGCCAGAGGTGATGATTTGGTTACAGTTTTCCTTCTTAAAACCCACTTTATTTTTTAATTTTATTTTAAAGATTTCATTTATTTATTTGAGAGAGAAAGAGAGTAGAGAGAGAGTGGGGAAAGGAGTGGAGGGAGAGGGACAAGCAGATTCCACACTGAGCATGTAGCCCAATACAGGGCTCTATCCTACAACCCTGAGATCAAGACCTGAGCCAGAGTCAAGAGGCAGACACTCAACCGACTAAGCCACCCAGGTTCCCCTAAAAACCTACTTTAAAAAGACGTTCTGAATATTATGACTCTGCAACTTTGATTTTTCTATTATGAAGATTAATTCCATTGTCTCTGTAAAACCATATTCAGTTTTTGTTCATAAAACATGCATCATACAAATGAGATGACAAACAAGTTGCCAGTTCAGAGTCTGTTTATCATAAATGTTTCTGCATTTATTCTTGCTAATATTCTCAATTCTGCTACCAACTCTGTAAATCTCCAAACTTGGGTCAATATAATTATCAGCCCTCTTCAATTCTGCACCCACTGCTAAGCATTGCTGGGGAAGATTATACTACTGTGCTTATAAACTTCTTCTCCTTGGGAGAAGAATGGGAGAGAAAGGTAGCTCCCTTCCAGAAGCAGAGGTACTGTGTGAACACCTGAGGAGGAGAGTGTAATGGGATTTTCTCTCCATGATCATCTGTATATATAGTAAAAATAAAAATAATATGATGCTGGTATAATCTGATTTGTTGAGAAAGCTAGTAGGGAGTTCTCAGTTTGTCCTGAATTGATTCAATTTCAAAGATAAAAAAGGGAGGATTAAATAAAGTTTAATTTTCAGAGATTGTGGATTGGATGTTAGATTCACCCAGGTTATGAATTAAGTAGGAGTTTGAACCCAATTTTGTCTCAGATCTGAGACAGAGGACTGCCTCCAATAAGTGATTTATGGGTAACTTATAGTTCTCTACCTCTCCAAACACATTTTTCAAATTGTGATGGGTTTTATATATCATTATAATATAGTATAATGTACATAATATAAGACATATAACAGAGTTTACTGTTTGTATTTATGTTTTTATGTTTTATGTTTTTATGTTTAATCTTCTGTTCCTTCTCCCTTAATTACTTTAACACCAACCCCTTTCTTCAAGTCATAGAAGCTGATCTCTCCCATTTGGTGAGAAATTGAGTTCATAAAGAGCAAATTCCCTCAAGCTCCAGACTTTCTCTTTCTATTACTTCAAAGACAGATGCTTTATTTGGCCTCTTATTCCCCTTCTCTCCTTACTCCTTGACATTTTGCCTCAAGTTACTCATGTCTGTCCTTTACCTTTCAAGACTAAACTTCTTAAAGTTCTCATTTTAAAATTGAGATAGATCTCAGACCCAAATGCCTCCTTGCCAATGCCCTATGACTCTCTTAAAAATAGTAATTTACACTTTGGGTCTCTGTATTCTCACTTCCTCAACTCACTGAAATTTAAACACTGCTTTCCTGACCCTGAACTAAATTTCTATGCCAGATACATAAAAAGACTGTTATACATGAGTATCTTCTTAATTTTTTTTTTCAAAGGGGACAATCTTCCTTTAACTTTCTAATGATACCTTTGATCTTCTGATGAATCCCTTATTTGATGTCCTCTAACGTCTTGACTTCTGGAGGGTGATTCTCTTCTGGCTCATTGAACCTTTTTGGTCTGTATCGCTTCCTCGGCCTGCTTTGTCAATATTCCCCAGTGTGCTGATCTGGGCAGTCTCCTTCCACTTTGTGACTTCTCCCAAAAGACTTTATACACTCTTGTGGTTTTAAGTACATGTGGTGTTTTTACCAGTTATGTCTCCCAACTGTGCATTTCTAATACTAATTTTTTTTCTGAACTTCAAACTGCAAATGTACTTGCCCAGTATCTTGACATTCCACAGACATTTTAGGCTATAAATATTAAAAATAAATTCACTAAGTTTATGCCTTCTTTTTGACATCCCTCTGCATTTCTGTTTCAATTTGTGTTCCCATCAATTCCTTATGGCCTGTCCTTAACCCAGAGACACATTTATACAGTTTATACTCTGAAAAAAGAAGTGTAGACCATAGGGATCAAGAGTTGGCAAACTTTTTCTGTGAACAGCCAAGTAATAAATACTTGAAGATTTGTATTCCCTATAGTTTTTCTGCTGTAACTACCCGACTCTGAGGCAATAATGTAGAAGCAGCCATAGACAATATGTAAACACACAAATGTGACTTATTCCAACATAAGTTTATTTATAGCAATAGATACAGTGTGCCATTTCCTGGGTTGGAATCAGGATTGCTGAAATTCAGCCTATATACTACTTGGCTAAAACATGGTTCCAACACAGGCAGCGCTATTAGACCAGAAGTCATCTTGCCTTTAGCCCCCACCTCTAAATGTAATTCTCTCATCATTTGAATTTTACTTTCCAAATATTTCTCCTTTTTTGAAAGATTTATTTATTTGAGAAAGAGAGAGCGCAAGCAGAGGGAGGAGTGAGGGAGAGAAACTCAAGCACACTCCTCCTAGTCCACTGCAGAGCCTGACACTGGATCTAACCACCCTGAGATCATGACCTTGAGATTGCAATCTGAGCCAAAATTAAGAGTTGGATGCTTAACTCACTGAGCCACCTAGGTGCCCCTTTCCAAATACTTCTTGAATACATACATACATACATACCCCTTTCCAAATACTTCTTTTCCTTTCTAAATTCACTGTCATTGCCTAAATTTAGTTCTCATTATAGTACTTCAAAGCCTTCCTAATCTGATTTATACCTTCAAACCCTACAAATGAAATTACCTTTCTAAAATTCAAATTGAACCATGTCACCAACTACATAAAAAGAAAATCCTTATGTACATTAAAGCATATTTGATCTGATTTTCTGGTCTCGTCCATCACCTTTGCTCTCGGGCTTAATATTCCAGTAACACTGAGTCACTTGTAATCCAGGAAGCACAGTTGTCTCTATTTATGCAATGTCTCCTCTGTTTTACTGTCTTCCCATTTTCAAAGTTCCACCGAACAAAGTCACTTTCAGACTCTAACACTGGCCCCAATTGTCATATTTCTACAAATACTTCCCTTTAATTTCCCACACCTGATGACAGAATTAACAACTTCCTCTTCTTCACAAGTTCTTTTTTTCCCACAAGTTCTTAAACTTATACACATCAGTAATTGAACATATTACACTGCATTAGGATATATCTGACTACATGTTTTCCTGCCTTACTAGACTACATGCCCAGTAGGATTGTATTTCAGTTATTTGTGTGCTTGCAATGCTTAGCATAGGACCCAGCATACAGTGAATTCTCAATATTTGTTGCTGAACTGACCTGAATTCTACTTTAAGACTAAAATCTGAAAGCAGCTACTCCCCTGAAGCTGCTTCCCAGAGAGGTCTAAAATAATGAGATGTTTCCATTTTGAATGCAGAAAGAACTTCCAGATCAGTTTAGGCCTTGGATGGAAATTGCCAATGAACTCCCTCATTTGATTGAGAGTCACCAGCTTCAAGCTCGAGTGAACAAGGTATATCTTTTTCATTCTTCTCTTTAAGGTCATTTTTTTTCCTCTTTAAGTTCTTCTCACGATCTTAATTTCATCCTCACATACTCCTCTTTCTCAGCATTATGAAAGTGGGTCAATGGACCCAGGGACACAAACCATTGCCTTTGAAATTACCAACTAAGCTCTCTCGCCTTTCCTGAAGAGTGGAGTGACTTGTTCCTCATATTACACATGCATTTCCCTAGTTTCCAGAGCCTGCACAAAACGATTTCTGGAACATATTAAGCACTCAGCAAATATTTGTTTGCAGAAGGAAGGCTGTCTGTTTGGGAATTATAGGCAAGCTGATGGAAAAGATCTAACTAGAGAAAGGTAAGCATAGATATTCTCAGTGTCCTTCTTGCATGTCACATGGTTACAACTTGATTTTACCATTGGAGTCTCAGAGAATAGTTGAGTCAAGTTAGTATGTTCTGCAGAAATAATAAGATGAGGAATATTTCCCAAAAGTGAGTAAAAACAGTGAAACTTCTTGGTCCATGGGCACTGATATTGCCCCCACAGTAATAATAGGATATAATGAGAAAACATAGACTTTAATTCAGGAAGACTGAGTCTGAATCTTGGTTTTATCACATAGTAGCTTTCCAACTTATAAACAAATTATTTCACCCCTGTAATTCTGAGTCCTTATTTACAGAAGGGGAGAAATTCTGGTCTCATAGAATTGTTGTAAGGACTAAATGACTTCCATATTCCCTGCCACTCAACAGTGTTCAATATATATTTATACTTCTCTCTAGTCTTGTCTCCATGGGATTTAATCCCACCAATTTGGAATGCCATGTGATTTCAGAGAGAAAAAAGGTTTTCCATTCTCCTAAATCCTCTATCACTGACTTACACACGTTTAATATCTATAAATACTAATGTATTTAAAAATACTAGATGCCTGTTAAGTACAGGCACAAGACTGGAAATCCTATGAGAGATATATAGGACCATCTTCAGTGTTAATGAAGATAAACCTAAGAATTTATTTTCCTGCTGCATAAAGTCTCTTTAACATGACCAAAGAAATACAAAGAAGAAGAAAAATAATAAAATATCTTTATATGCAGGAAATCAAGAGAAAGTAGCAAAGATAGATAAAAATTTTAAGAATTTTTATATCATATTAAGCAAATTATATCAATCTATGGTACCCATGCAAAGCATTCAACCAAAGCAAATTGTGCTTTTTAAGATTACTGAAAAATTTTTAAATCTTAAAAAAAAAAAAGTTCACCAGCACAAGTTGAGACTGAATCAATTGGAAATTAGTAACGAAAACAAATATAATGGCTTCCTGGACCATACATGGAACTACAGATAAAACATTTGTTCTCATGAGTCCTTTACTTGGCACAGACAACACAATAAATACATTTACAGTTTTTATCTTAAAGTACCTCCAGGTCAGCCACGTTGCTCTTAGAAAGCCCCAGTACACCTATCTGTATTTTGGTAAAAAACAAACAAACAAACTTATTTTTTGGTTTAGATGCATCCATCCTATTCCCGAAAATGTCCGTTCTCCACTCTACTGCCACAAAACACTACAGGTAACTGACTTGCTCACAAGAAGCTACACAAGAGGAAACTCAGCAGCATTCCAGAAACATGATAAGGAATGCTGTATTAGCTACTAAGGTCTGACAGAACTGACCACCATTCCTGAACATGAATAGACAACACCAAATTATCATGTAATATGAAGAGAAGGAATAAGTCAAAGAGCAATAGAAAGGGACTGGACATTCACAGTCAATGGCTCTGATGAACTCAATGTTTTTAATATTCTAATTAACATCTCCAGTGTATTTATTTTATAAAAATAAGTAAATTTGTATGTAAAAGGAACTAGTGGGGAGCAAAGAAACTCAATATGAACTCAAATAAATCATAGAAACATTGGTTATAGAAAAAGGATACATTTTTCATAAAATATAAAGCAAAAATTATAGAAATACCAACTCTGAAAAATAAAGTATATGAAAAGGAGAAATTAATGACCCAAACTCTACTAGTTCCCTAAAGCAGAGTGGTGTAGGGGGAGAAAAAGCAAAGCTTCAAGCATATAAGAACAAAATTTTTCAGATCTTAGGAAAGATTTGAGTATTTTATTAGAAAAACAATGGGGGTAGGGGGAACACATACAGATATCCTTGTGAAATTTCAAATTTTCTAGAACAAGAAGAACATTTTGCAAGTTTTAATCAGGAAACAATAAAAAACAAAACTAGGTTACTTACAGAGTGACAGGATTATTTATAATAGTAAGTATTAAGAAACAATTCAATATCTCTTTGAACAACTAAAATTAAAAAAGAAAATTTGTCATTATCAAGTGCCAGTGAAGATATATACCAAAGAGACACTGATTCATTTTGCTGGTAAGAATGCAAAAAATAGTACAACTACTTTGGAAGATGGCTTGGCAGATTCTTATGAAGTTGAATGTAGACTTTTCATATGACCCAGCAATCACATTCCTAAGTATTTACTCAAGTCAACTGGGAATTTATGTGCATGGAAAATCTTATATGTGATTGTTTATAGCAGCTTTATTCATAATCCCCCAAACTGGAAATAATCAACCTATTCTCTCAACAGGAGAATAGTTAAACCGAGTACATGAACTAAATGTTTGTATTGCCCACAAATTTAGATCCTAATTTTAGATTCCTAAATTTAGATTCCTAATCATCAATCTGATGGTATTAGAGGGTAGGGCTTTTGGGAGGTGAATTAGTCAGAGCTCTCCAGAGAAACAAAACCCATGGGATATAGTGAGACACAGAGAAAAATATTTATTAGGAGGGATGGGCCCCCATGACTATGGAGGCTACACTGCAAGTAGGAGCCTCAGCAAGATGAGAGTCAAGGAAGCCAACAGTGTATGTCCCAGCCTGAGTCAGAAGGTCCGAGCACTTGGTAACTGCTGTTCCTAGCTAGAACATGGCTGTCTCAGCTCAAGCAGACAGAAAATTCCTCCACTTCCTTATTTTATTCAGGTTCTAATGCAATTGATGATGTCCACCCGAGTCTCTGAGTGCAATGTTCTTTACTTAGCCTACTGTCCAAATGCTATCCTCTTCCAGAAACACCCAGAGACACACCCAGAAACAATGTTTTATCAGTTATCTGAGTCCCTTAGCCTAGTCAGGCCAACACATAAAACTGATCAACACAGACTATAGATTGTGAGCATGGAACCCTCATAAAGAGAATTAGTGTACTTGTAAAAGTGGCTCCTGAGTGCTCTCTGGCCCTCTGTAGCTATAATGTGAGTAATGTGAGGATAAAACAGGAAGACAGCAGTATGCAACCCAGAAGAGGACCCTCCCCAGAATCCAGTCATGCTGGCACTCCACCTGATCTTGGGCTTTCAGCCACGAATATTGTAGAATTTAAATGTCCGCTATTTATAAGCCACCTAGTCTGTGGCACTTTGTTATAGCAGCCTGACTAGCTGAGACATTGAGTTATAACCACACAACAGAATGCTATTCAGGGTCAAAATTATATTTTGCTAAATAAAACATGTCAGACCCAAAAGACTATATATTGTGTGATCCCACTCAAATGACATTCTGGAAAAGACAAAACTCTAAGGACAGAAAAAGGATCAATGATTACCAAAGACTGTGGAGGAAGACATGGGTGGTGAACTACCTCTCCTAAGGAGGAGTTTTAGGATGATAGAATTGTTCTGCATGGTACTCAGGTGGCAGTAAAACCCACAGAATTGTTTATCATAGGGAGTGAATTGTATGCAAATTTTAAAAATCAATTAACCAGAACTTGGGGGACTCTTGGAATGGAATGCAGTCTGTGACAAAGGAATGTAATGGTACTCCAGATGTGGGATGTCACTTCATGAGAAAGGGCAAAGGGACTAAAGAGCTGACCTGAGGCTCTGTGGAAAATGATGCTGTGGCTGCAATCTATATGGTCAAACTCAAGGGGAACTACACATAATCACTAAAGTCTAGTTCGGAAATTGTTTTTTTTTTTTTTTGTGGGATACAGTTTAACAATTCTGAAACTGCTTTTTATGAATACTAGGTTGAACAGATGCTGTATGATACTTTGCTGTCAGAGATGAAAGTTCTAAATTGGCCAAAGGAGAAGGCTAGAATCAACCTGTGGTACTGCATGAAACATGAGCATGAAGTCATGTTTAGCATTATGTATATGAGTAAATAAACATATGTGGATAAATCATTATATATGTGTGTATATATAAAATATGTGTACACATATATACACATACATCTCACACATACACACACACACACACACACACACACACCATTTCCTCACTTTGTCCACTGTGAAGACCTAGAAGCAGTGGCACCCCAGTAGCAAAGGGCAAGCCCAGTGTTGGGATAAATACCCTTCTTCAATTAAAGAAACTAGAGGTCCTTGGAGAAGGTCCTGATTATAAACTTGGGACAGGGTAAATACAAGATGAACCCTCTTGCACTGCCAGGAAGCAAGAGAATGCTAACAAACAAACAAATATGAAAGGTTGGGGCATATTAAGTGGGACACAGAAGTCAACCTGAAAAAGACCCCAGTGGCCAGTATGGAACAATATAGCAAGCAAATAAATAAGGGATTATTGGATTATAATCCAAACTATAAAATAAAAATATATCTGTCCATACTGATATTTTTAAAGATAATGTATGAATACTAATAAAATATTAGGAATAAGTATTTAGAACACAGATTTTAATAATCTTCTGAGAACTAAAAAAAGTAAATTATCAGTCAAATCAAAAAACAGGAAAATATACTATCCAAGCACTTTGTCTTAAATGTTCAGAAATTATTCTAGCATCATGAATATAAATCAGAATAAAGAACTCAGGAAAGACAAAAAATGAGAATTTAAGAAACATTGTTCAACAACGAAATTAATTAAATATATGGTCAATTTTTTCTGTATGATCAATTCTTAATAATCACTGTTAATGTGTTGGTGAAATAAGAAGGAATTTCTAAAATAATTTGTGCATGCATGTGTGTGTATGGACATAGTCTTGTGGCCAAAGTGCATTAACATGATGATAGAGTTAAAATTCTATATTTATTTTTAACAAGCTGATGAAAAAAGAGATGTGGAAGTTATGAAAATAAAATAATGTTTTGTTCATTATGCCATATTACATAGGAAGTGAATATATATATATATATATATATTTAACAATAGCAAGGTGAGAAGATTTGCCTTATCAGTTATCATGATGTAATATAAAACTACAAAAATTAAGAGGATATGATATGGAGGCAGCATAAACAAAGAGGACCAAGAACTTTTAGGGAACATACATATAGACCCACAAGTATGTGAAATCTTCCTATATAACAGATGATAGATCAGAAGGGGACATAATGGTAAAGAATGGCTGATTATCCACACATATGGTAGCACAGAGCAAAAGAATACTTTGAATTGGCTACTTTTGTTATAAACAGAAATAAATTCATTCTAGATAGACTAAGAATTTAAAATGTAAAAGATGAAAATTTAAACGTTATAGAAGAGAATTTAAGAGAATATGTACTTGAACTAAGGAAGATTTCCTAATGACTAAAGCTGAGATATTTTTACAATAGACTTCATTAATATAGAATCTCCATTCATCAAAATAGATTATAAAGAAAATGAAAAGCCAAGTCACAAACTGAAACAAGATGTTTTCACATGTATAACAAAAAGACTTGTATACTGGACAAAGTTCTGGAAATAAAACAGAAAGACAACCAAGTTAAAAAACCACTGGTGGCCCAGTGGTTTAGCGCCTGCCTCCGGCCCACTATGTGATTCTGGAGTCCCAGGATGGAGTCCCACATCGAGTCCCACATCGGGCTCCCTGCATGGAGCCTGCTTCTCTCTCTGCCTGTCTCTGCCTCTCTCTGTGTTGCTCATGAATAAACTAAAAAAAAAAAAAAAAAAAAAAAAAAAGAAAGAAAGAAATATGCTATAAACATGAGCATTTTACTTAGCAAACATGAATGACCAAGTGACATATGAAAGATGCTAACCTTTACTAATAATCAGGAAAATGAAACCTAAACGGTAATGAGATGGCATTTTACAACTTCTGTATTTACTTTTCATCTTACAGTACACACACACATGGAATCAAGTTGATTTACTTTTAAATTGAGTAAAACATTAAGTTTATAACTCATTCTCTCCCCAACCATTTCACTAGTATTTTTTGTTTGTTTGTTTTTTGTAGAAGAAACTTCCAAAGAGTATTTGTTGTTACTGTTTATTTTTTTTCCAAATCATTTTGATTAAAAGAAAATAAAAAAAAAAGTAATTTGTATGTTTACGTGGAAGAGAGAGCCCAAGGACTCTGGAATGTACAAGAAATTTACAACAACAAAAAAACCCAAACCCTTCCAACCAAGAGAAACATTCTCAACTTGTACTTTATGCCTTTGTCTTCAGGCTGCACTATAGGCAGCCAATAGGGGCTGACGGCTTTGGGACATCTGAAATGTGGTTAGGACAAACTGTGCTGTGAGCTATGCGCTGGATTTTGAAGACTTTCTTATAAAAAAGGGCTGCAAAATGTCTCAATAGTTTTATACTGATTATGTGTTGATAATATAATGGATGGATATATTGGCAGAGAAAAGCATATTATTAAGACAAATTTCATGTTTCTTTTTAGTATTTTTTTTTTATGTCACCGCTTAGAAAATTTAAAATTACACGCGGCTTTCATGCATCTGTTAGGCGAGGCCAACTTGAGCCCGCAGGTCAGCAGTCAGTGGAAGTGAAGGGGCACCCTGGCTCAGTGCCCCCCACTCTGGGATACTGCCCTACCCTGTCTGACACAGTTTTGTCCCGTGGTTCGGGGGGAAGGCCCAGCACCACCCAGCGTGGGAAGATTTTAGGAAGAGGTTTTATAACAAGTACTTAATAAATCACTATTGTTAGAATTCTCAAGCTGCTTCCTGTTGAAATGCAATATTTCAGCAGCCACCACCCTCTCCCCCACCCCCCCCCCACGCAAGTGCTCTGCGATCCTGCCAGAGAACATTTTTGCATTTTTGGGAGGAATAAACACGCCGCTGCGCGCTGCGCGGGGCGGACATCCTCAGACAGGCGGGCCCTGGAGCACTGCAGGGGGAGGATTCCGACGGGAGGCGGCCCGGGGCGGCGGGGGGGGGGGGAGGCTCTGAGCCGGAGGAGCCGAGGGGCGGCGGGTCTGAGGATGCTCCTACGGGGCCTGGAGCTTAGGACACACACACACACACACACACACACACACGACGTCCTCCACCACCTGCTGTGGCACCTGAGGACCCCGTGGAGCTGGGGAGCCACGGAGGAAGGAGGAGAGCAGCGGTGGGGAAGGGGCGCGCCGGGAAGCCAGGGCTCACTGGTGTGTCCGCCTCCACGGGCAAGGCGGTCCAGGCAAAATCGAGAAACTGGTTACTGTTTCGGCAGAGCTGGCAACCATTAACTTCTGTGCAGGATGTGGCTTTCATGACATTTCCACGAAGAAAAGGGCATGGAGAGGTACAAACCCCCAGCCAGGCTCATGGGAGGAGTTCAAGCAAGGACTGCACAACCCTTTGGCCCGTTCACACCAATTGCCCACCCCCCCACCCCCCACCCCCCCGGCCAGGGATTTGGTAAAACTCCCAACTCGTTTCTGTACTTCAGAATTAAGCCGTTTGAGTATCGCGGGCGCTGCAGGCTTGCTCTCGGGTTAGACGATGCCAAGGAGGCAAAGGTGCCTTGATGGGTAGCGTTGCCATTGTGCTGCCCACGAAATAAACCATCCCAGTTCGGGGAACTGGTTCTGGTGGACCCTCTGAGCGATCAGGGCACCTGACCGTGGCTGGCAGAATTTGGGAGCCGGGACGGAGTGGTTGGGTACTTCACGAACAATGCTGCCTGGGATAGGCAATACTGTAGCAGCCGGGGTGTTGGGCGGAGGGATGGGGGTGGGTGGAGGCTCCTAGCTCCTGCACTAAAGTATGACCTGTTCCCTACACACGAAGAACCCATCAGGGCAGAGAAGCCCAAGCCCACTGCAACTGATGATGTGTGTTCTCTTGAACAGATGCCCCTCCTCAGCTGTCAGGGCCTCACGAGTTACCGGGAACAGCGCCTGGCTCACTTGGTTCTCAGCTTTATTACTATGGGCTACGTGTGGCAGGAAGGACAGACACAACCCAAAGAGGTAAGGGGCAAATAGAGGCCTGCCTTGTCATCGGCAAGTCTGCTGCTCCTGGAATCCACTCTCTCTGCTTGGCCCAACACTGTTTTTCTGGAAAATAGGTCCTTTCTTGTTCTTTTCTCTGGCTATCAGCTGAAGGAAGGGCAAATGGCCCACTTACATGAGACAACTTTTCTCCCTAAGAAGCTTTTTTTTTTTTTTTTTAGAACTTGTAGCCATTTCTCCCTTTCATTAGTTTTTCACATCTATTTTCTTTCTGGCAGTAATGCTTAACAATGCATTTGAAGGCAAGAACTGAGGTCTCATAAAATACTTAATGATAGCTTACGTTTGACCGCATTTTGTATGTATATGCATATATATTATCTCTTGATTTTCACAATCCCATAAGGTAAGTAAAACTCCCCTGTGTCCATTTTACAGACCATTGAAGACTACAGGAGATAAAGTCCTTGTCCAAGGTCAGAGAGCAAGTGAGTGTAGAATGCAAGGCCATGCTCAGACCTTCCCATTCACCAACATAAACTTCTTTCCCTAGAGGGACTCACTGACATTAACAAGGATAATTTTAATTTTTAATACTACTTTATTTCTACTGATTATTGGCTTCTTAATAATTTATTTAAATCTCTTCTGAATCTTTGCTTAACCTTTCATGATTTCAACCTGAGCCTTGAGACATGAAGTCTCTGAGTTCCACTAACTGCAGTAAAAAGCACTACTCCTTTTCATTTTGCAGAAGTTTCCCTTTTCCAGGAATTGGCCTCAGCATTGTTCCAGTACTTCATGGTTCACTGAACAACCCCTGCCTATTTTGTTTGCTTAATTGATCCAGCCTCTTTTCTTTCAAGTAAACACAGGAAATTCCCCATGAGAAAAAGAAAGGAACATGAGGAAGGAGACAAAAGGAAGGTAATACAGTTGCCTCAGAGTTTTTAAATGTTAGTACATTTTATTTTTTAAAATTGTGCACCTTATATAACAAAGCATAAAATCTAGGCACACTACAGAATATCCCACTGGGCTTCCCTCCCCCTGTGTTCTCCAAACCATACCCTAGACTGGGAGGAGGTGTAGAGAAGGGTGACAGGAGAGGAAGCCTCTAGCTTCATGGTGTGTCCATGGCGTACTTCCAGACCACCATGGAGCCCCCTGCCCATGGCCTCAGAGCATCTCTGACTTTCTCTGCATCTCATCTTTTAACTTTTCACCTAAATGGACACCTCATATCTTCACTACTCTTCTCATCCCCTGGTTCCCAAGGGAAGGTAAACTTAAGTTTGAATTTTAAGAATCTTTAAAGTTCTTTATTGTTTTCTACCTGAAAAGACAGTTCTTTTCCAAGCCTAATCTAAAAATCTAAGGGAAAGCTAAGGCAGACATGGGCCTTCTTAATTAGACACTTTTATCTTAGGGAGAAATAAAAATAAAAGTGGGAGATAGGGAGCATAAGAACGTTCTTTTGGATCTAATTTAGCCCTGTTCACAGCAAAGAGACCTCTGCCCCCTGGTTTCCCATAGATCTGAATTGTTTTTCTGGACTTGTGGGCAGATAAGTTTCTTTAGAGTGGTCTTCAGATAATTTAGACGTTGAATGGGAACTGTCTTGAGGTGACTTACTTGAAGTTATTACTGGGTTTGACTTATGAGGTGATGAATAGAGTTGGCTGCTACACAGGACAAAGAGTTCTATCCTCCACATTCCTCTTTCCGATTGACACATGAACACATACTCGTATGTGTGTATATATATATATATATATATATATATATATATATATATGCTTGTAGTTTTATACACACAGATATATCAACATATTTATGTAGTTGTCCCTGTCTATAGATAAGTAGATAGATATAGAAATAGAGATTCTTTTCCCACTGCTCATAACTCAGTCCACAGTTCGTGTTCAAACATGGTGGTGAACATTTGGTGATGCCCTTCTTTGCAGTCAATTTTCAGAGATTATTTTTTCCAAATGTGTGTGTGTGTGCCCCCACTTTGTAATATTCTTATATATTTCAGCTTGTACTTATACACAACATATCCACTAGATGGTAAACAGAAAACATATGAGACTAGGTGTGTGTTTATGGATCACTCAGATCATCCCAGTTTTATGGTCATTTCTCTACCACAGGGTTGTTGGAATAGAGGGAAACCATGACCACTTCCTCTGCTGTATTCTTTCTAGACTATCCTAATTGTCTGGATTTATATCTATAAGGTTCTGCCAAGAAATCTTGCCCTTCCCTTTGTCGAAGTCTCCAGGAACTTGGGGCTCCCTCCTATCCTGGCCCACGCAGACCTGGTACTGACAAACTGGACCACTAGGAATCCAGAGAGGTAAGATGAGCAGTGAGAGCTTTGGATTTGAACAGATTGAAACTGAGTAAAGGGCAGTCCTGTGACTTTTATTCTCCTTACAGTAAAGGCCCTGGCTTTTTCAGCTATTTGCGATTAAAGATGTTCATATTTATTTATTCCTATTTATGGTTCCAAAGAAGGATGAACCTGAACACAAGCTCAAAAATCAAAACTCCCAGCATTTTCACTGTGAATACATTGGTACAGGCTACATTTTTCTCGTATGCTTCCACATCCAACCTGAATTTCTCAACTTGACCTTCAAGCTCTGCATAATTAGACTTCACTCATTCTTCCTCACCAAATTATCTGCTATTCCCTAACATGCTTTCATTCGCATCAAACTAGGACCATTGACTTCATTATGTGATGATGATACAGTGTTCATACATGAGTGATTATGGGTGAATTAAGAGTAGGGCTCTAGATAAGTTGGATTGAGAATTTGATGAATGTTATTTCTTCTACCTAGCTGGCATCAATCCTCTGAAAGTTGGCCTGGGAATGTATGTAGACATTAGTCTAAAGAAGTAGCATGAGTTTTTAATAAGCAATGGAGTGGGTGGAAGAGAAGTATTTAATTTCTCTTGAACTTCATTATCACAGCCAAATTTATTTCAAGAATAGTGCTTTGTGACTTAAAATAGCTAGCGACATTTAGGTTAGATATGAAGAAAAACTCAGCATGAGGTTTGTGGCTAACCACAGTATTGCCAGAGGAGATGATAGGAATCTGTTCCAGAGGATTACACATTTTCCTTAATTATGAATTATAATTATATAATTATTAATTATAATCTTTGATCAATTCTGCTTTCATAACAAAATTGGTGACCAATATTCTCATGAAGAGCTGCTAAATATGACTCAGAGTTTTGACAGAAATAAATAATATATGTGCAGAAATGATTCTGGTCAAGGCACTGAACATTGAATAAACTGAATTTCTGATTCAGAAAGAGAAAAGCAGGAAAGTTTGAAGGGGAAAAAAAATTTCTGGGCCAGAATGATTAAATAAAAAATACAGCCAGGAGCTAATTGCCCAGTCAGTGAGTACTCAGGGCTGCATCCCAGAGATGCAGACACAGTCCTGGGCTCAGGAGTTTTCCTTCTTGATAATTAACTTTTGGAGTCTTTTAATATGCCTAGCATAGAGCTAAGTGCTATGAACAAATGGAAGACATGGAAGCAGAGTGCACTGACAGGGTTAAAGAATAAGAGTGAATAAATGTCAAAGAGTGACACAAACAATAGCCCATAAGAATTTCAAAGAACCGATATCAGTACAGTCTTTAAAAATCAGGAACAGATCGGTGAGGGGGTAAAACTTGATTTATAGTATGAGCTAAAGGTGAGTAAGAGTAGAAGAGTCATAACAGAAATGTGGGTTTGTGCCAGTTACAAATCTGTAAGAGGAAGAAGATAATTTATGATGATGGCCACAGGCTAAATGGTCTAGGGCTTATGTATGAGTTGGGATTTAGCTCACTCTTTGTCACACGAAAAGGAAAGAGAGGTCTTACAAGACAGGAAAACTTCTCCCTTCTTCCTTTCTAGGTTCTTTGGTTGGTCTGATAATGAAATTGATGTGAGAGAAATTAATAGGAGAAAAATGAATGTGTGCATGGATGTGTGCGTGCTGCAGGTGCATTTGCACACAAAAGTATGTGTGTATGGGACTACAAAAGGCACATCTGGTTTACAAGCTGATTTGTTCTTTTGTTTTCTTTTTCTCTTTGTGGCCATCAATACTGAAATTTGATTAGATCCCTGGAAATCAGGTAAGTTCTCAGAAACTTTAGAATCCATACTAACTAAAAGCTTACAAATACACAAAAAAGAAAGCGTACCAAATTTTATATGTAGTATCTAAACTATCTAAAAATGCCTGAAAAAAAGACTGGAAGGAAATGTGCCAAAAATAACAGTCCAAAAATTAACAGTGGTGCCTCTGCTTTATAAGGATTAAGGGATTAACAACTTTCTTTACTATATTTTCCAATCTGGGTGTAATGAAACAAGTAAAGTGCAATACAGGAAGGAAGGAAGGAAGGAAGGAAGGAAGGAAGGAAGGAAGGAAGGAAGGAAGGAAGGAAGGAAGGAAGGAAGGAAGGAAGAAGAAAGAAAAGAAAGAAAAGAAAAAGAAAGAAAGAAAAGAAAGAAAGAAGAAAGAAAGAAAGAAAAGAAAGAAAGAAAGAAAGAAGAAAGAAAGAAAGAAAGAAAGAAAGAAAGAAAGAAAGAGAAAAAGACTAGAGCTTGTAGGACAGGTCTGGTCCAGACATCCGTAGTCTCCTCTTTCCCCAGAGAGCAAAATTAGCCTCTAAATTGGCATTGCCACTCCCATTGCCAAACCTCCAGAAGGGGTTCAGTGTAATAGCTGTAGATCAGAAGACAAAAGGTGGAAGGGTAAAGACACCACTTTCCACACTAGTGTAACTCTGCTGCACAATGGAGTTCCTGACTTATTTTTCCTTTGTGTTTGTTTTTCATCTCTTGTCATGCTTAAAATGTTAGAGGCAGAAGTGATTTATGGAGTGGGATTTTAGGTTTTATAGACTGGACTGACTTCTGGGATCTTTGAATCTATGTGATAACTGGTCATTTAAAATTGATCCCTGCCTAACAGTCTTCCTGCTTCCTTCTATTCTAATACAGCACTTGGGGGGGTGGGTGGAAGTCACTGATGAGAAAGAGCACGAGCCTGAATTATGATATAGTCCTGCCCTCTTCCTGTGACTAATCAGCCACATGACTCTGGGGAAACCATTTTGCTTCTTTGGGTCATAGTTTCATATTTAAAACAGGAGTATGGAATTAGCTACTCTCTGTGGTCACTACAGCTCTAAGACTCTGCTCCTGACAGGAATGGTGTGATGGGCCCCAGATTGGCCTTGTGGAGGATCAGAAGTACCTGCTCACTTAACGCTTCAGCTGACCTGCAGGGATTATGAACTAGGACAATCAGGGCCATGCTAGACTTAGAGTCCTCAGGTCTGGTGAATGTGGGCTGGAATAGACCTGCTCTCTTTCATTCCTGAACATGGCTGGAGGTGGATGCTCCTCCCCAGGGCTGTTCTATGGAGACCAGAGGGTTTCTTTCAGAGTCCCCTTGCTCTCGCAGGTGTCAGACTCTGAGTGGCCTATGGACAATGCGCCTCACAGTGACCAAACCTCACTAACCATGTGGTCCTTTCCTTTCCAAGGAACTTGGACATCATTGTCTCACTTCCTGGGGGAGAGAGCCTGCGTGGCTTTATACTGGTGACTGTTTTGGTGGAGAAAGCTGCAGTACCTGGGATTATGGTATTTTCTTCAGAACACATTTTTTTTTTAACATAATGAGTTATTCGCGTGAGCTTTACTTCCCACCAAGTCCCTTTCCCTATGGTGAACTAATCAATATAGATGAGCACAGGCCTTGTCCTATTTGGTGTATGTCTGAGAAAAGAGGTCTGAGTACTAGCCCACCCACAGAGATAACTCCTGTTTCTCAACTACCGTAAAACTTGGAATGACTGTTCATCCATTCAATAGACAAGCCTAGTTCTGAGTAAGAATGTCTGGGGGAACAAGAAAGGCACTGTTCTGGCCTCTACAGATCACCATGCAGTGAAAGAAGATAGACTGATGATGTATAGGGTAACAACAACAACAACAAAGGCAGTGTTTCATGAAAAGATTGCAGGGTCAGGCAAAGGAAAATGGGAGCTGGAGCTAAAATCCCCGTGAAGTACAGGACCTAAACAGGAGGTGGGAATGGGGGGTGGGGAGTAGTATTCCTGCCCCAGAGAACTGTTTTTGCGAAGCCTCAGAGGACAATGAATCTTCATTGAGATTTCCTAGCCCCAGGGTGTTACAAACTTGAATTCCTACTGGGGTCAGGCTGGTACCTGAAAGGTCAGGTGTAAAGCAAAGGAAAAGGAAGGTGGAGTGGCAGGTGATCCACTAGAGATTTTGTGCCTTGCCCAAAGATATTTAAATGAGATCTATGTCTTTCCTCACTGCTGCCTTCCCAGGTAAGCATACTTTGAGCGTTTCCTGAGTCCTTAGGAGAGTGACCAGATTGTGGTACAATTCTTTTAGCATTCCCTCTTTCCCTCTCAAAATTGAAACTATATGGTTACTTTACTTCTCATTCTTGTGTTTAGTTCATTGAGAGCTACAGAGTAAAGTATCCCAAATATAGCTTCAGTAACCTGGAGACCTCCAGAGACAAGGAAGGCTTCCTGGTGGAGGAGGCTCTGACACTAAGGAATCTACAGAATCTGTCTGATTTTATGTACACCAGCACTCAGGAGTGAAAGTGCCCTAGTTCAAGATCACAGGAAGAACGAGTAGAAGTAGAAATGATCATAATGTGAGATAAATACAAAAGAAGGAACAAAATGGATATGGTTATGCCCTTGAGAGTTACAAGAAGTAGCAGCCAATGGGAAAGATCCAGAAAGACTTAACTATGGATTAAGGAGATTCTGGCTCTCAAGAAGACCTCACAGCCCCTTAGGGCAGGAATGACCCCCCATCAGGGACCCCTGCCAAGCAGTCCAGCAGTCAGAGGGGCCCCTTCCTCCAGGTTCTCACAGCACTGCTGCTCACTCCCTCTCAACAGACTGAATGCTAATGAACTGAGTGAAACGAATCTCCTCTTCAGGCACTTGTTCAGGCCGTGAATGCCATCCTGCAGCACGGCGACAACTCCCTGCTCCGAGCCCTGCAGCAACTGAGACTCTCCATTCAGGACATCACCAGAACCTTAGGACAAATGCACAGTAAGAGGCTCTTGAAGACTGAGGGCTCTGCCTGGGACCAAAGGGCCTGGAGGTTTGGCGACATCCACAAGATGGTGCTGGTGCATTAGCTTTTTTTTAAGGCCACCAACTACTATTCATGCTACTGGAAAATGATCTCTCTGCAGAGATTTTCTTCTGGTTTTATCCTTCTTTATATTCTCTTGTGATTCGATGGCTTCCACTTCTCACTGGCCATGTATTTCTTTGCATGTGGGGCGGTCTTGCATGAAACTGGAGGGAGAGGTGGAACACACAATACTGGAGGTACAGCCTCTATCCAAGGTTACTGCAAGGGTGGAATTAGGGCGTGAGAGAGTGTATCCTTACACTCTCTAAAGCTTCTTTAGTCTTTGTTCTTAAGTGGGACCTGAAATGCTGGACCTTGGCTTTGGGCCTTATCTGAGGGCCTTTCCAGTGTTCCTCCTCTGGGTCTAGTTTAGGGATGTTATCATGGTGTGGCCAGTTATGTGGCCCACCTTTGTTTGATGATATATTGTTCTGATGACTGTAATTCTTCAACTTCCTCTATCACAAGCATTTAGAAAATGTAACTAGTGTGTATTTAAGGAAGGTGTGGGAGAGGGGTGTGATCTGTTTAACCGGGGATAAAATAAAATAAGTATCAGTTTCCCTGAATAGATGGAGGGAGTCCAGGAAAGGAGAGGTTTCTGGGAAACAGGACAGGAGGGAGGAAGGGAAGGAGCAAGGGGGAACATCAGGTGGTGCTCAGCTTTACTGCCTGTTATTAAAGGAGTAAATTTACTGGTCATCTCAGACTCTCTGCACTAGTGGAAGTCCATCTGAAGTCACAGCATTATGTATCATAGGCATAATACATTATTTTCAACTCCCTGCTTTATATTTCAGAATCACATTTCCTCTATTTCCCTGAATTTTAATTTTAAAGCCCTCCTGATCACATCAGTAGGTCTCTTGCCAAACAAGCTCTCCAAAGTGAGTGACGTGGATTTTCACCTTGCCGAGTGACCCTGAGTTTATTACTCAGGATAGCAAGACCAGGACAAATGAATGAGTGAAAGCAAGTAGTCTAAAAGCTCATGGGAGGCCTGCGTGCCTGTCACAGTGCCTGCGGCAGTGAGATGGCACAGCCATGTCCATCACAGGCTTCCTAGAGCTCTTTTCTTCAGCCCAGGCCAGCCCCAGCACTCTCTTGATTATCCTCTGCAAGGAGTCTGATGGCCTGGGGAGGTACCAGGGCTACTTGCTTTGTTTTCCTGAAAGGCGAATTATTGCACACAGACATAATTTATTTTAAAGGTTTTACCTGCGGTCACTGCAGTGAAATAGATGAATGCATCGACTGCATTTTCCAAAGAGGGCCACAGCATCTTCCATGCCATAGACTCCTTTACAGTGCTCCTTTGACATGCCTGTGGTCTGTGTCCTTGCTTGTGATGTTGGTGGGCTGGTGACATGCCTATAATCAATAGCATGCAGTAGAAGTGACCCTGCATGGGTTCTTGGGCAAGGCTAGAGAAGGTGATTCAACCGCCACTCTGGATACTGAGTCACCACATAAAAATACAACGCACTCTGAGGCCACCATGCTGTGAATGAGGCTGTCAGACCACACAGGGAGCCCAAATGTAGGAGCTCCAGTTGGCTCCTGGCCCAGGAGTGAATGAGCCCCCTTGGATGATTCCAAGTTCCCAACTTCAGATCATCCTGTCTTCAAGTCTTCCCACCTTAGGACCCAAACACTACGAAGCAGAGAAAAGCCATCCTCTGTGTTCTGTCCAAATTTCTAACCCACAGAGGCCACAAGTGTAATATACTGGCTGTTTTATGCCACTAACTTTCGAGTGATTTGTTTTGCAGCTATAGTAAACAGAAAAATGAAATTATAAAAATGACAAATACTAGACTCTGCAAGGTTTACAGAATCACACAAATTTCTTAGTCACTATGTCTGGATTATAGTTAATGACTTTTTTCTACAAGATCAATAGAGCTTCCCCCTGCTTTTTCCAACCAGATGGAGCTCACCAAAAAATTATTTCTTTTTGAGCTTAACTTTACCAAGAGTTGTGTGCTATACTCCCTTCCTCCCTAAATATCTCACTGCTAGGCAGGATAGCCTGAAAACATGCCCATGGCAGAAGAGAAGGTACTCTTTATTGTAAGGCTGCAGTTTGCTTTTCTGAAGACCACATGCTGTCACTAGGCCTTTGCTCAGCCCACATGTGACTTCAACCTTACGTTAAGTCCTGCCTTACACAAGTCCTCAGCACGGGTTGGGAAATAAAACCAGATTACTCTGTTTTCATAGCCTGACTCTTCTTAAGGCAGAAGTCTGTAACAGCACCACACAGATAGACTGTACCCACCTCACCATGCACTGCTTGCTGCATGTCAGCACTGGGCACCGGCAGAATCCATGGCCAGCTTCCCTTTTCTTGGTGATTTGTAGAGAACTCAACCAGCTCTGAGTGTTGTGCTCAGCTGGAAGACTAAAATATGTTCGGATTTCCAAGCATCCAGATTACACTGGCATGACTTCTGGCATGTTTCTTTACAGCTCTTGTTTTTAAGAATTAATTTCCTCCTTAGAAAAGCTGAGGGATAAATTTCTCTCCAAGAAACCATGGAGATTTTTGCTTTGTATTTCCTTCTGAATCAACACAATTTCTAGCTTCTCCTTGACTGACTGGTGTTGTAAGAATTTTTCCTTTAAATAGTATAACAAGGAGTCAAACTGTTTCCTTCTAACAGTTTGATATGTGTTTAAAGCAGGATGCTTAATCAGTGAATCGGTGCTAAATGGTAAACCTCTGCTACTATCTCCATCTGACAATTGGCCCACTTAATTCTGTCTAAAGAATTTTTCTTCCTGATTTGAAAATTTATTTTGTCTAAAACCAATTGGAAACACAGTTCTTGTTTTCATTTTTGTTATCTTAAATTGAAGTTTAAAGGTGGTGTATGATTAGAACACTCTTAGATTTGTTGAAAGCATTTTTGACATTTGTATAAAAGAATTTGTGATAAAGGCTCCTGAATATCCTGTTTGGTCTGAAGGAGGTAATTACAGTCAGAACAGCCTACTGGTGAGAAAAGCCTGCTAGTAATAAAAATGGTCCTTAACCTTTGAAAAAATAAACTAAAAAATAAAACCAATTAGAAAAGAGTTAACACTGGAATTCTTCTCTACTAAATACCATGGGATAATATTTCTAAAGTTGTCTTCACTCGTGGATTAGTTACACCCAATAACCTGAGTATACCCTAGTCACCTGAGCCACCATATTTTACCTTAAGTCCAATTTTATTATGTCAGTGCATCAAATCTAGAAGCATGCCTACAAAAACCCAAATATAATAAATAGTTCCATAAGTCTTCACAGAAGATGTTTTAAGGCAAACAGGAGAGAATATACATTGCACATCACACATCAAAAATATCCAAAAATCTACAATGATAATTATTGTTGCATATGGTCAAGATTCACTCAGATTTGCTTACATATTAATAACTTTTTGTCTTGCCCATCACTCCATTACGCACATTTCTTTTACCACAAAGATTTCCTCTAGTGAGGACCTGCTGCTGGCAAACTCTCTCATCTGCAAATTGCTGTTTCACTCCCATTCCTTTAGAATATTTTTGCTAACAGCTATATTCTTTTAGTTGTTGAGTAGATAAGTCCAACATCTTTTGGCTTCTGTTGTCACTATTGGGAAGCTACATGTCAGTCTGTTACTTGTTTGGGGCAACCTAACCTATCTTTTTCTTGTCTGTTTGTGACTTTTTCTTTATGTGTCAGTCTTTCCGTTGTTCTGTTTATGACATGTAGGCTTCATTATGCTTCTTTAATTGATATGATTCATCATTCTGGAAAGTCCTCATCCATTAAATCCTCAAAGGTTGTAGGATACGATGGGACAGCACCTCACTGTCCTCTCATCCTACTGCAACTGTGATTAAAGTTAGACCTTGGTCCACTATCCTCCATTCTCTTAACGTCTTGCTGTTTTTTCCTCATCTCTTTATTTCTCTGTGCTTCATTCTGGATTAATTCTTATGATCTAATTAATTAGTTTTCAACAGCTTCTGATCTGCTGCCAAATACATATGTCAAATAGGTTATTTTATTGTCTCCTTTCCAAAACATATTTTATTAATTTCTAACCTGTTAACTTTTTACAATTTTCTATTCCTTGTAGACATTTTCAAGCTTGCTTTTGTTTTTCTTCAACATACTATGTGTATCCATTTTATAATTTGTATGTGATGATTCTAATATTGGAAACTTGATTCTGTTTCCTTCTTGTTATTTCTTTTTTCCTATTGATTCTCATTGCTGGCTGTCATGTTTTCTTGTGTCTGTGATTGCTTTTTTTTTGCCTTTTTTTCCCCTAGGTATTGTTCATTGTACTTGAAACATTGTAGGCAGTCTTTTGAAACTGGGGTAAGGAAATATTTGTATTCAATTCTTCCTGGTTCTTGGGGACATTAAAATTCTGGACCATCTTGAACCAAGCTCAGCAAGTGAGGGCCCATGTACTAATCAGGGAATTAAACTTGGGCTGAAAATGTGAGAAAAAACAACAACAACAACAACAACAACAACAACAAAAAACAATGCCAAGATACCCCCAATTTTGTCTCCTAGGCCAAGCAACGGGGGGGGGGGGTGGCAGCTAGATGCACAGTGATATTAAGATATAGGCAGTTGGGACCCCCAGATCAATATGAGCAGGGTATCCTGTAAAATTCCTCACTATGGCTGGCATCAGGGTCTTACTAATGGCCCGTATCATACAGAGAAGCCACCAAAACCAAGCCCAGGTGTACCTGGATTGGCAAATGCCTTCAGGGAAAAGTGCTTTTGCCATTCTAATTTTCTGTCTCCCTTCCTAAGTTCCCGCTTTCCCTTAAATTTTTGCTTGGCAGTTCCTTGCTATTTCTTCAGCTTCTTGATGCCTTTAGGATGTTTGCTTCTCTTATCCCTCTTTTCAGATTGTTTTTAGTGGACGGATAAGTCCAAGTGAGATAGTACCCTATTGCCCCCAAATGAAAGTCTCTTTCTGGAGTATCGTTTGCATCCTTTCCTTTATCTCTGTTTCCATCACTTGCTCTGGAACTGGCTCTCATTATTACTTGCCAGGACTCTGCAGTGACCTTTCCCATCCTGTCTCTCATCTGCCCTTTACCTAGTCTAATTCATTCTCTACACAGAAGCCTGAAGTGTAGGCCCTTACTCCTCAAACTCTTCTCTCCTGGCACATTGCAGTAAGGTAGCCTCTAGACACATGTGGCTATTGAACACTTGAAATGTGATCAGTGTGACTGGGGAACTAAATTTGAATCCTGTTTAAACAAATGAAATTGAAATTTAAAAATAGAATCAATGTAAAATAGTTTTTTGTTAAACACAGCTCTATTACGGAATAGGTCGTATTTTTAGTTTTCAACTTAACTGTTGAAAATTAAGCATCCAAATTGAAATGTAGTAAGCTTAAAATAATTTTTTTAAAATATTTTACTTACTTATCTGTTGGAGAGAGAGAGAGAGAGAGAGAGCTTGGGGAAGAGCAGAGGGAAAAGGATAAGCAGACTCTGCAATTAGTGGGAAGCTGGACTCTGGGATTGATTTCACGTCCCTGAGATCAGGGCCTGAGGTTGAAATCAAAAGTCAGTGGCTTAACCAACTGAGCTACATAGGTGCCCCAAGTGTAAAATAAATCTTAAGTCTGTAAGCATATACAGAAAATTTCAAAAATTTATTACTAAAAACTTAATAGTTTTTATATTATCTTTTGAAATGAAAATATTTTGGATTATTGTGAGTTAACTGAAATGTAGTGTTGGTATTAATTTTGCCAGCTTTTTTTACCTTTTGAAATATGACCACTAGAAAATTTTAAATTACATATGCCCATCACATTACATTCCTATTGCATTCACTAGTTTATCCATTCTTCTTCTTCTTCTTCTTCTTCTTCTTCTTCTTCTTCTTCTTCTTCTTCTTCTTCTTCTTCTTCTTTTTTAAGATTTTGTTTATGAGAGAGAGAGAGGCAGAGACACAGGCAGGGGGAGAAGCAGGCTCCATGCTGGGAGCCTGATGCAGGACTGGATCCCCGGTCCCCAGGATCATGCCCTGGGCTGAAGGCGGTGCTAAACCGCTGAGCCCCCAGGCTGCCCCCATTATTCTAAAGAAAAGGCCAAACAAAATCTTTAATGCTTTCTGCAGCATTCAGCATGGTCTGAGCCCAGAATATTTTAATTTCAATTTATCTTTGACACCACTTGTTCTTTCTAATCCTAGATTTTAGTTCCCAAGAAGAATTTTTGTCCTGAGCGCGTTCTGAAGGTGCACACGAGTTGTGTCTTTCCACAACGTCAGCTTCATTCAGTAATAAAGCAAAGTCAATCATAATTATAGAGCAGGTTGGAGATTCCAAAGTCAACAACTCACCAGGTGACTAAGCGTGGCCTCTTACGTGGCACGCAGAGCGGACCAGAAGGCAAGTCACACAACAAACGAGGTAACAGAAGTGGTGACCACAGCCAGAGTCAGTCTGTGGGCGCGCAGCTGAGACAGGGCCTGGGTCCGGTGGGTCCGGGTCGGGCCGGCACTTGGCGCTTCTGCTGTTCCAGCAGGGCAGGGCCTCGGGGATCTCCTGTCGGAGACCCTGGGGATCGACCGGCAGAGCCTGCGGCAGCCGCTGCCTTTTGAAAGTGGTCAGACACAGAGGGGTCACGTCTGCCCTAGTCCTCCCCGTAATAAAGGGATTGAATCAGTCTCGGGCTCCTGCAGACCCCCTCTGGTTCTGCGTGTGGTCAGGCCTGGGTCCCCAGGACACCTCCCAGGAGCAGCACCGCTCCCTGCTTATGTCATTGCTTGGCACATGCCCCTGCTTGACCTGAGAGACCCCATCTTGCTCTCTACAACTTTCTTCACCCTCAAGGCTTGTTTACACTCTTCCTTCTGTTTCATACATTTTTTTCTATTCACCTTCTGTCTGATTGGCTCCGACTGACACTTCAGATTTAAGCCCAGGTTTCATCCAAGCGCACAGAGCTGCTTACAGCCTGCCAGCAATGCTACCAAGTCTGGGAAAAGGGGAAGGGGCTAGAGCATCATAGTAACAGAAGAGACCAACAAGACCAACATCAGGGGTGGGGACCAAGGACTGGCAGAGGGTAGGTACCATCAGAGGCAGGAGGACGTGTCCAGGAAGCGAACGTGATTTCACAGCTGGTTAGAAAAGATCACGATGCCTCTGGCAAAGATGTGCCACTCGGAAGACTGAATTGAGTTCGGCCTGATGGGTTGACTGCTTTCAAAGTAAACAGGGGCTCTGAGGGAGGATGATGAACTTGCTTTGAAACCTGTCATGCTTAAGATGATGATAAGACATCCAGAAGTATATGGCTTTGACAGTTGTAATTACACGAAAAAGTTACAGTTTAGTGGTCGTGAGCATCAGATGTATGGTTCGATTATGCATCTACAATGCTTCATCGCAGGTGTGGGTAACACAGCACCTGCTGTTACTTCTCCAAGTGGGACAGGATGAATGTTGTTAATGTAAGGTCAAAACACTACAGTAATTCAGTGTTTGTGGTTTTACAGCACTGATCCAAAGCAAGGCTTTCCTGGTTTTGCTTTGTGTAAATACTACTTCTCAATATAAAATCTAAATCCCTACCCCTGAAAAATTTAAAAGCAAGTTCCCTCAGGTTTTTTCCAAACAAAAGAAAAATAGGGATCCCTGGGTGGCGCAGCGGTTTGGTGCCTGCCTTTGGCCCAGGGCGCGATCCTGGCGACCCGGCATCGAATCCCACTTCGGGCTCCTGGTGCATGGAGCCTGCTTCTCCCTCTGCCTGTGTCTCTGCCTCTCTCTCTCTCTCTTTCTGTGACTATCATAAATAAATAAATTTAAAAAAAAAAACAAAAACAAAAGAAAAATAATGCTTCTGACACAAAATTATTATCAGTGTAAACAAATCAGAAGCAGATGTTATATTTCTCTAGAGATTCACTTGGATTTAAAAGAGTCAATATTTTGTGTTTTGCTGAACACAACAACAGAAACACTGGAAGGTGTCTGGCCAGGTGTTAAATGGACCTGTGGTTGGCCCTCCGGGCA